GCACTCTGCCCAGGGGGACAGCTTGAGGCTCTGTCTCAAAAAAAAAAAAAAAAGAAAGGCCCAACTTGGCCAGGGACACAGTGGCTCACACCTGTAATCTCAGCACTCCGGGAGGCTGAGGAAGGCAGATAGCCTGAGCTCAGGAGGTTAAGACCAGCCTGAGCAAGACTGAGACCCTGTCTTTACTAAAAATAGAAAAACTAGCCATACTTTGTGGTGGGCACGTGTAGTCCAGTCATTCCAGAGGCTGAGGCAGGAGGATCACTTGAATCCAGGAGTTTGGGGTTGCTGTGACCTATGACAAGATGGCATTCTACCAAGGGGAACAAAGTGAAACTCTGTCCCAAAAAAGAAAAAGAAAGGCCCACCTTGACTGTGACCAGGCGTAAGACAGACTGAAGGCTTCTTGTGGCACTTAGAGGAGCCACAACATGAGGCTGCTATTGGTCTCCGCCACCAGCTTTGGGTGTCCAGACTCTAGCTCTCTCTAACTCTGCCTGGCAAGGCCCCTTGGCCTCAGGCTGGGCAGTCCCCAAATGCTGCTGGTTCCTTCTCAGTGTGACTGGCTGGCTGGCGGTTGGCTACTTTGGATGGGGTTTTTTCTGTCTGGGTTTATGCCTTAGTTCAGACCATCCCTTTCTAACTTACCTCATCCTGTACACTGTGGTTAGAGCTACTTCCAGTGAAACACGAATATAATTGTTATTCCCTGTTATAAAAAATTATAATGGTTCTGCATGATACACATACAGAACAATCTGAACATTGTCTTTGCCTTCAAAACTGCTACACTTTGGTGCCTGGCTGGTCTCCTTGTCCAGCTGCTTCTCCCACTGCCTCTCTCCTGTTGGCCTTCTGTCCTTTCAGTTTATCTCTTAGCTCCCCCTTACGGGAACAAGCCCTTTGGAGTTCCCACTCTGTATCTTTACTCATGCAGCTTGCTCCATGGAGATGACCTTCTCCATCAAAGTCAGCGCATCTTCCCTTTCCCCTCCACTCAGAGCGTGTCTGCGCGTGCTGGAAAAGAGTGCGGCCTCTAGAGTCCAACTTCCTGCTTTTGAGTTCAGGCTTTGCCACTTACTGGTTTAGACCATTTCCTTAAAATCTTTGTGCTTCAGTTTTCTCTTCTGTAGTAACGGGGGAAATAATAATACTCATCTCATAAAGTGGGGAAAATTACAGCACACGCAGAATGGTATTTAACACACGGCAAGCAGCTGGTCCATGTCAGCTGGTAAGTGATTACTGACATAAGGACTCTCTTACTTTGATTTATCTTGCATTATTAGTGTGGTCCACGTTGTTTGTGAATGTCTGTGGCTCCCTTACTGTATTCAAACTGCCTAGAAGTCAGGGACTCTTCCCTCATTGAGTGTGGAACAATGCTTTGGGTACACAGTCTCTAATTTATGATGGTTTGACTTAGGATTTTTCAACTTTACACTGGAACAAAAGTGATGTGCATTCAGCACAACAATTCTGGTTTTTACTTTTGTGTGTGTGTGTGTGATAGCTGCTTTGTCGTCCTGGGTAGAGTGCCATGGCCCCTGCCCAGCTCACATCAACCTCAAACTCCTAGGCTAAAGGGATCTTTCTGCCTCAGCCTCCCCAGTAGCTAGGACTACAGACACCCGCCACCATGCCCAACTACTGTTTCTATTTTTAGGAGAGATGGGGTCTCACTCTTGTTCAAGCTGGTTTCACACACCTGTGCTCAAGCAGTCCACCTTTGAAGTGCTAGGATTACAGACGTGAGCCACCAAGCCTGGCCTGTTTTTCACTTTCAATAGAGTACTCAATTACATGAGCTATTCAACACTTTATTGTAAAATAGGCTTTGCGTTAGATGATTTTACCCGAATATAGACTATTGTAAGGGTTCTGAGCATGTTTAAGGTAGGCTGGACTAAGTAATAACATTTGTTCAGCAGGTTAGGTGTATTAAATGTGTTTTTGACTTACAACTCAGTTTTATTAAAATACTTTGATCTGGGCTTCCAAACAAAATGTGAACACTTTGAAGGTGGAACTATGCTCAGAGCAGACACCAGGACATAAAACAGGTTACCCTGAGGCCACCTCTCACACACTTCAGGTGGCTGACTTCAGGTGCAATCTCTCCTTTCAGGAGCTGGTCCCATTATCTGGCTCAGGGATAGGAGGGAAGAAGTTGTAGGCACCTTCCTTTTGCTTTTGTATCGCAGCTGGAAATGATCAGCCCATTAGAGGACAATATTGGAGTTAGCTGCCACCTTCAACCCAAGAGAGGTGAAGAGGTAATTGGGTTAATTACCAGGCTTAATGGCACCTTTTCTTTCAAGGACTTGTGTATGACATGTGTGTTTCAGAAATTAGACGCCGCGGTTCCAAAGATCCCCTGGTGAAGGCTGTCCAGGTGCGGGACAGCCCCTGCGAGCCAGGGGAGAGCAGCCTAAAGTCCGAGGTGTTGGCCAAGAGACGGGGCTCCAAGGACCTTCCTGGGAGACCGCTGCCCCTGTATGACACCCCATATGAGCCTGCAGATGGGGCACCCCGGGCAGAGGGGAGGGCACGGCCCCCCGAGGGCCGGCTGCCCGAGGACGACGAGCGGCCAGCAGCAGAGTATGAGCGGCCTTGGGAGTGGAAGAAGGAGCAGCTGGCACGTGCGCTGGCAGGTGAGGCTGCCAACCCGGCTTTCCAGCTAAGTCTTTCCTGACATTCCTCACTGAGGATCTCTTTTCCCCAAGGAATGTGAGCCCACAAATTGCATTTTTAAAAATCCTTCTGTGCTCAGTGCCTGTGGCTCAAGTGGCTAAGGCGCCAGCCACATACACCTAAGGTGGCGGGTTCGAATCCAGCCTGGACCCGCCAAACAACAATAATAGCAGCAACCAAAAAATAGCCGGGCATTGTGGCGAGCGCCTGTGGTCCCAGCTACTTGGGAGGCTGAGGCAGGAGACTCGCTTGAGCCCAGGAGTTGGAGGTTGCTGTGAGC